AAACTGAAATCACACCTGAAATCGCATCTAATGAATGTGAATGCCAGTGTCTTAACATGTGCGATTTGCTGCAGTGTGATTTCTAAAGTAGTTCTTGCATTACTTTTCTGCAGTTTTGTTCCGATTTTACATACAAAGAATATAATGGAAATCACACTGCAAACAGCAATAAAGTCTTCAGAACTCGCACCTGAAATCACTCTGAAATTGCACACAAATTGTGCAATTTTAAATCGCAGCAGTGAGACTGGTGAGTATGAAATTTTTTTTGTTGTTGTTGACTGCGTTTTGTCTGTAGGGTAGATTTCCCATCACTTCCTCTTGTCTCAGTGACATAGTGGGAAGGAAGAACAAATTCCTCTTAAGTGAGGGGATATGCCCTCTTAGAGAGCTGTCACCAGAAAAAGTGCCCCCATTGGAAGAATTCCCCCTACTTCCTGCTCCTGTGACAACTCAAAAATTATGGATTCCCCTCACTTTCTGTGGCTAGACAAATATAGAATGGGAATCTCCCCACAGGGCACACAGAGAACAATAAAAACTGTACAGAGGTTCAAACTATTTCCTACTCTATCCAATAAAAAAATTAAAAATTTGGCCTTTACAAACACTTAACCAGCCATTTCATCATTTTTTTCTACAATTGTGGAATCTCAGAGTTGAGAGTTACATTTTTAGTAGAAGTGAAGATGTATGCAGGTCCCCCCGGCTGCCTTCTAAAGCTGTCCATAAACTTGGAACTTCTATTGATCAATTTCTATTTTTCCTTCACAATCAAGAATCAATTGAATGAATCATTTACAACTTTCAGTCGACTGCTGGGCAGAAAATCTGATCGCTTGTCAGGGTTCCTAGTTTTCATACAGCATATTAAATCTATTTTAACCCATAAAATTGATATCATCTTGCCAATCAGATTTGTAAATGAAAGTTTGTCTTTGTTCACTTTCTACTGTAACAAAGTGGTTGTAAATGTTCCTGTTTTTTTTAAATAAAAAACATGTTATACTTACCCGATCTGTGCAATGGTTTTGCACATAGCAGCTCTGATCCTCCTCTTCTCACATGCCTCTTCTCCCTGCCGGCCTTCCCAGCTCCTCCCCCACCCTGCAGAGTGCCCCCATAGCAAGCTGACTGCTATGGGGGCACTCATGCAGGCTCAATTCCAAGCCAGCCCTGTGTGTCGATAGACACACTGAGCATGGCTTGGCAACCCCCACTTCCTCCTCACTAGCTGTGGCTGGCAGGAGCCAATGGCCTTTTCTGCTGTGTCTGAACCAATAAGAAGGGAGAGAGCCAAGAGAGCCGAGAGAGCCTCTGCTCTTCCGTACAGTGCTGTCCATAGATACACTGAGCATGGCTTGGCAACCCCCACTTCCTCCTCACTAACTATGATTGGTAGGATCCAATGGCTTCTGCTGCTGTGTCTGAACCAACTAGGAAGGAGAGAGCCTTTGCTCTTACGTACAGCGCTGGATTGAGATTGGGCTCTGCTAAGTGAAAATGGGTCCGGGGGGACCTGCATACTGAAGATTTTTTACCTTAATGCAGCAGAAAATGCATTAAAATAAATAAAGTCTGTCTTTAGAACCACTTTAAGTGGTTAAAATTGCCTGAAAATTGCCCTGTGTAATGTACGAGTCTCTGGAGTCACATAAGCTTATGAACTCTCCATGTGAGAGCACTGATTGGCCCAGTGCTGTCACATGGTGTGAGTCACATGTTCCTCCATACTCAGAAGTATGGGTTATTTCCTTTGGCTCCCAGCACTGAGCTGAGTGGCAGTATAGTGAAGGAAAGGAAAGTATATGCTGTTCGGAAAGAGGTGTTCAATAAATCCACTGCTTTGTCATAAATCAACAAAGAGCAGGTTTGCTTTAGAGGGACCGTATGATGTTTTTGATGAAATTAGAACAGGAGCCCCCTGTTGTAATGCTGCAGCCTCTGTCAGTGTCTTCAGCATTCAACATTTCCTGGAGTGTCGGATGCCTGTGTACTCTGCAGCGTGCTGTGGTACCTTCTTCTAATCCCTACAGCATTAGAGGACCAGTAGTGTCACAGGGACGAGAGGAAGGAACCACAACGAGGCGGCAGGGAACGCAGATATCCAACATCCTCAAAACTTTTCAATGCCAAAGACACTGACTGAAGCTGCAATGCTAAAATGGAAAGGGAGGTAGGTGACACAGGTGATAGGAGAGGGGAGTATACTACTACTCTTACAAGAAGTTGCCATTTTCAAGTCTTCAGAAACTTGACTGATTCTCTTTAAGAAGCGTCTGAGCACCTCTAACTCTCTCAACTCGTTATGTGGACTTAAAGAGGATCTCCACCCTACCTTTCAAAAATGAAAATTGTAAGATCTAACTCTAAAAAAAACCCAAACTAGTCCATAGCCCACATTGTCCCGTTTGTAGGCAAAAGTTCTCCCTACATCACTCTACTCCCATGCCGCCTTTATGAACTGAGATCTGGCACATGCACAGAAACATTGAAGGCCACAACATGTCTGCACATGTACCAGATTTCCCACACATGCACAGAAATATCTAGGGTCTTTATGGTGTCTGTGAGGGTTCAAGATGTCACAAACTGCCCCCTGGGATATCTACATCACACATCCCAGAAGGCAGTTCATGAGATCTCGCCCAGCCGTGGAGGCTTTGCCATGTTGGTGGTAAAGAAGACCTGAGCCATTTCTGGGGTCTGATTACATCACTCTCACTTAGGTGAGGATTGCAAATATAAAGCAATAAGATAAAAACAGCATAAGTCCCTTACAGAAAAAGACAAACAAAAAAAGTTGTCTCTGCAAGCAATAGTGTAAGGATGGGAGGGGGGGAGGTGGACAAAGGCGAGAGAGAACCTTTAAGTATTTCTAAACCTTTTTTTCCAAAATAATAAGCAAACTTATCTGCACTACAATTGTTTTGCACAGAACAACTCCAATCCTCTTTTTCTGGGGTTCACCACCAGCACTCCTGGCTCTTGCTCTTTGGCGATTGCCCTCACAGGAAGCCACTTGTGGGGGAACTCGTGCAGGCTCGATCCCAAGCCATGCTACCTGTGTCCATTGACACAGACAGCCCAGCTTAGCCCCGCCCCCTCATAATAGGATATGATTGCCAACAGCAATAGAAGCCTGGCTGGCATGGCTACCACTGCTGCTTCTCTCTCTTGTGGGAGAGAGGGGAGTGAGTTGCTGCTCTTGGGCACAGCACTGAATCAAGGTTGGGGTTGGGCTCAGGTAAGTATTTAGGAGGAGCTGGGGGGGGATCCTGGATACAGAGTGTTTTTTTATCGTAATGCAGATAATATGTTAAGGTGAAGAAAAAAAACCTTAAAGTGGTTGTAAACCTCAGACATGAAATATGAACAAAGCATATCATTCTATAGCAGGGGTCTCCAAACTTTCTAAACAAAGGGTCAGTTTACTGTCCTTCAGACTTCACTTTAGAGGGCCGAACTGTGGCCAGTGGGAATAGAAATTCTCCTGGCGTCAGTGGGAGTAAAATGTGCACCTTGGTTGGTGTCAGTGCGAGGAATAGTGCCTCATCAGTGTCTGTGGATGAATAGTGCCCCATCGTTGGTATCAGTGGAAGGAATATTGCCCATCGTTGGTGTCGGTGGGGGGAATATTGGCTCATCATTGGTATCAGTGGAAGGAATAGTGCCCTATCGTTGGTGTTGGTGGGGGGAATATTGGCTCATCATTGGTATCAGTGGAAGGAATAGTGCCCCATCGTTGGTGTCGGTGGGTGGAATAGTGCCCCATCGTTGGTGTCGGTGAGTGGAATAGTGCCCCATCATTGGTGTTGGTGGGGGGAATATTGCCTCATCATTGGTATCAGTGGGAGGAATGGTGCCTGATTGTTGGTGTCAGTGGGGGGAGAATGGTGCCTCATTGTTGGTGTTGGTGGGTGGAATAGTGCCCCATTATTGGTGTCGGTGGGGGGGAATAGTGCCCCATTACTGGTGTCGGTGGGGGGAACAGTGCCCCATCATTGGTGTTAATGGGGCGAATAGTGCCCCATAGTTGGTGTTGGAGGGGGGAAAAGTGCCCCATTGTTGGTGTCGATGGAGGGGGAATAGTATTTTGCATCAGTGGAAGGAAAAGTGCCCCAAGGGCCGGATAAAGGCATGCAAAGGGCCACAGTTTGGAGGCCACTGCTCTGTAGGGTGTGCTTGTCTCAATCCAGAGCACAAAGTGTGATTTCTGTCTGCTGCTTTGTTCCTCTGCTATCAGCATGAATCACTTCTGACAAGTTTTCCTGACACCAAGAAAAAAAAAATATGACAAATAAGAAAAATAAGATTGACAGCCTCAGCTCTGTTCCTGTGTGAAGGAAGGGGGGGGGGGGGGGGAGTCTCTTCCCTCCAATCAGCTCTCAGAATTCTCCTCACTGAGCTTTACAGAGTAACTTCAGCTCTCCATCCCCTTTTTTTTTCTCTGAACTCTCAGACAAGCTTTATATTCAGCACTCTGAATGGATGTAGAGAAGCGAAGACTGTAGAGAGACAAGTACAACTTATGTGGGAGGATTTGTTTCATCTCTGTGTATGACCTAAGGCTAGTCACTTCATTGGGTATATGTAAGGGTTTTACAGCCACTTTAGAAGCCTTTAAAAATACAGTAAAGTTTATCCTACTGACAGACGGATCATAGTTACAACTTTTAGACAACTTTGTATTACAGGAATTCACACTAAACCTAATGGACAGAAATTCATATTTTTTATAGACCCAGTCTGGCAGATCAGAAAAATTTGCCAACAGCAATGTAGCTGGAATGCATACCTAAGCGACGTATTTGAATTATATCTAATCAGTCAGTTCATCACATCACACTGTTGGTAAATTTTATCGATCTGTCAAATCAATTCCAATATGAAATATAACAGTGTATGCCCAGCTTACACAGAAGAGTGTCCCACTCCTCGCCCCATTCTGTACATGCAGACTATTGCTCAGTGTATATACAGTATAGAGAAAGATTTACCTGTTCCAGGTGGCATTGGATCCGGCTCGCTTCTGCTGCGTCCCTCTCTCATCCAAAGCTGCCTGTTCTTTCTTGCCCAAGTCACTGAGGCTGGGCGAACTCATGAATTTCGACCTGCGAAGAGTCCTCATGGTCAGCGCCAGTCTGAGCATTTGCTAATGACAGATAATCCTGCAAGCTCCCAGGCTTTGCATTGAAGAAAAAAAAAAAAAAGAGGCAAGGCAAGTTTTCTTAACACAGCTCAAGTGAGGCAGGGGCAGACCTTTAATCACAGGCAAAGTACAACCCATTCGTCATAACTCCAGTCCTAGGGACAAAGCTACATTTTTTTCCCTCGCCGTTCTAGCCAACGTGCCTCCGTCCAAAGTAGCATTTTTTTTTTTTTTTTCTTTTTAAACTTTTTTGTAGTTCTAGAACCCAGCGGATGCCTCACAGTTGTCAAGAATTCAATTCTTCTCATGTTTCCACTGTCAGTTGTACAACGCTCCAGTCAATGTGTGTCTGCCTGACTCTCTGCAAAGGTTTTTTTTTTTTTTAAAGCAGCGCTGCTGAATAAGAGATGGCGGAAGCTTGAATTGAAACAGAAACAGACAGAAAGAGAGAAGAGGAAGGGAAAAAAAAAAAAAAAATACAAATGAGATTCACAAGGGACGGGGCCCAGATGTCGCAACACTTACAACGTGCAGAGACCACGACTTCTTCATAGAGTATGGAAAGTGGGCTCTGTAGACATCAGATAAGCGTGAAAATAAGAGAAAGGAGAGAGAAGAAACACAACATCAGGACAAAAGACAAGGGGAAGACTAGGGAGACACACATTTTCCATTGGCTGCCATGCCTAAAGTCAATGGGGCTTATCTTACCCGGGGCATTTGCATTTAAATGGGATGGGGGAGGGGTATATGGGAACCGCACTGCAATGCCAATTCACTTGACCACCCTATGCGCCTGAGCACACTGACTTTTCTTAATGATCTTCTTTTCAGTGCAGATTTAAGCGGTTGTATACTAAAAATCTAATGTAAGACTCCAGCTAAAACTTTTTTGTTTGTGATAGGAATGGGAAGAGTTAGAACCCTGATTTCTGTAAATGCCTGTGTCCCCACCAGGGCCATTTTGCCTCACTTCCTAACCCTGTAGGAGGAAACCTTCGCAAAGTAAGGTTGAGCCCTGGTTCACGCTAATGCAGTGTGGGAAACACGTAGAATCCTGTGCATGTTCCGCACCGCATTGCCATTGCATGGCATCCATGCGATCTAGCATGGCTGTCAGTGTTAAATTAACGGCACCCCAAATAGACCGCAAAACACAGTGGGATTACCAGAATTTGCATTGCATGGGTCTTCACACAATCAGGTGCAGGTAAAAAAAAAGGGTTCTGCACCTTTCTGGTGGGGATGCTTTGCGATTTGAGCCATACAAAATGTATGGCTCTAATCGAACTGCACAGACATCATGTGATTTGCACAGGAATGCAGTGTGGTTCCTATGCAAATCACATGTGATGTGCAGCACTGCATTAGTATAAACCAGGGCTAAAACTAGCCATGCACAACTTTCTCAGTAGTTGGAAGTGGAGATTCCCCCATCCACCAAATCTCCACCTATTGTATTCAGAATCTGCAGAACTTGTGGCTGCCTGAATACAATGGCGCAGCTAACCAGTGGACTGAATGTGATAGACATAGTCACTGTTGATACAATTTTCCACCCTGCTCAGCTGATTTTTAAATTGATGTTTGTCAAGCCAAGTGGTTCCTACAAGGCCAGTAACGATTTAAAATTCAGCCAGGAACCAGCCAAAATTAGAGCCATCTGTGGCCAGCCTAAACTTGGGCATATATTATACAAGCTTTACCATTGCTCTGCTGGACACTAATAGAAGTAACAAGACTGCTCTAACTGCTGATGAGAAAGGGTATTTCACAGGTTTTATTTACTAAATAATTGCATAAATAATGGGAAAAATAAGTTGCATAAATAATTTCCATGTTGTGTGTACTCTGGGAGACCAGATATAGTAAATGCAGGGTCCTGGGTTTAGTAACACTTTAACTATGAGAAGGATTTTTCTGCACTAAACCTTTTATCTAAAATTAAAATGATTCTATTTGGTAAAAGCCAAAATAAAAGTGATAAAAATTGGGTTAAATCCCTCATTTTTTGCGCATTAACCCTCTTTGTTATTGGACGTATGGCAGGGGTATATCAATTGCCTATATACTTCAGTCTATAATATGTCCCTCTTTTCAATCGCACAAAATTGGGAGATATGCTCTCATTCTTTTGTTGTTTCCTTTCTGTTAGCCTTTGTGAATCACTCCTGACCAACCCATAGACAGGTACATCATTTCAGGTCAATAATACAGACAATACCAGTGTTAACTGAACACCTGGGCATATCAGGAATACACAACAGGATCTGGAAATTTGTCAAATTCCAATTATAATGGATTAGGCTGGCCATACATTATACAATTATCTGCAGATTTTGTGCCCAATTTCCTTTAGATTTACCTTCATATATGTCAGTGTAAGGGCCTGCCTAATGGGATACAACAAAAGTGTTGTTTAGGTTAATTGTCCTCCACCTGGTTTTTGGTAAATCACCAAAAATCTGCAGATTCCAATTGTATATTATGTATGGACAGTTGGGCTATAAGCTACCTGTGATCACAGTGGGGTCAATCAGGGGGAATAGTCAAAGTGAGTGCAGTCCTCTGAAACCCCCAGTTTACATCCATGTTTTTTTAATGTGCAGAAACCAATCATTGATGGCAAAAGAATAAACAAAAAATGTTTCTTGCCTAAAAACGGACATAAACAGAATGGATGTAAATGAATGCCATCCTTTTACATCCATTTAGATCCGTCTAAACAGAAAAGGATGCAGCCTTGTTTCATTTAAAAAAAAAAAAATAAAAAAAAAAAAACAAAACAGACCAGGATGGACACAGATGTAGGTGGATATAAAAGAAAAAAAATGTTGCTGTAACATCTTAAAAAGTGTTACCTGGAGTTCAGCTTTAGGGAACTTTCCAGACCAAACCGCAATGTATGTGTACGGGTGGGCAGGTGTAAATAGATGATCATCCATTTACTGTACATCTGCCCACCCATAGACATACATTGTGGTTCGGTCTGGAAAGGGTCCTAACGCTGAACTCCAGGTAACACTTGTTAGTCCTCATGCACACTGGACATTTTTACAGCTGCTATTTTTTGGCTTTTGGCATTTATTTCTACAGCCACTAAACTCCTCAGCATGTTATCCTATGTGTCCATTCACACATAGGCTTTAATCAGCATTTTTTTGCCAGAGCCATTTTTGGCTGGAAAAAAACCCAGGACTAATGTGTTTCCAGAGGAGTTTTTTAGCTGTAAAAATGCTCTAACGCTGGTAAACACGGAAAACGTGGTAAAATGCAGCAAAACAGTGTTTTTTGCAATTTTTGGAGCAAGAATTTTTTTTTTTTAAATGCTAGAAACGCAAACACGGAAAAAAAACGCAGCTAAACGTTAATACAAAACGCTAAAATATACTGACAAACTTGTGTTTGTAATGCAACTTTACACAGCTAACGTTACCGGTGTTATTAACCACTTGCCGTCCGGCCGCTGTATATAAATGGCCAGACGGTGGCAGTCCAAGGGCGGGTTGCCATTCATAAATGGCGCCCACCATTTTGGACTGTGCGCACTCCCTGGGAGCGTGCAGCACCGCGATCCGGTGCCCGCTGTGTCCTCACAGTGGAACACCGATCATCGTACGGGACCTCTGTGCGAGGTCCCGATCATGTGATCACTGATTGACCAATCAGTGATCACATGAACAGTAGTAACCAAGATGTCACTTCTGTCATTGCTTATATTGCTTACTATGTGTGAAATCTGTGAATGATCACAGAGGTCACATGGTACAAGGCTATTCATAACAGCCTTGTACCATGTGACAAGCTGTGACCAATCACAGCTCACACATTAGTTATCAATGGCTGCAAGAACGCAGCCAGAGAGAAGGAGAAATGATTGCTTTTACAGCCTTTATGGGTGTAAAAGCAATCAGTGTAAAAATAAAAAAAAAAATCTTCATCACCCCCCACAAGTAGTACAGTGTCACCATGGTGACACTGTACTGCTGGGGTGACAGTATGTAGAAAAAAAAACATAAATAATAATATAAAAAAAAAAAAAAAAATGTAAAAACATTTTTTTTTTTAAATTATAATTTTTGGTTATAAACTAATTTGGGTTATTTTTTTTTTTTACTAAAAAGATAACTGAATAAATGTTGGGCAAGATTTATGATTAAATATTATTTATGTGCAAAATTTTCTAAGAAAAACACTTTTTTTCAACATTTTTGGATTTTTCATTTATATAGCAAAACAAATAAAAAGCCCAGTGGTGAATAAATACCACCAAAATAAAGCGTTATCTGTCTGAAAAAAATGCAAAAAAATTCATATGGGTACAGTGTTGCGTGACTGCGCAATTGTCATTCAAAGTGTGATAGCACTGAAAGCTGAAAATTGGCCTGGACAGGAAGGGGATAAAAGTGTCCGGACTTGAAGTGGTTAAACCGCCTAGTGTGCATGGAGACCTAAGCTGTTACAGCAACAGTTTTTTTTTTCCTTTTGAGATAAACGTTTTAAGTGGATGAACAAAAGGTGACCATTGTAAGCACCCTTGTCTGTGGTAAACAGTTTGCCTCAACCCTCTAACTGCCTCTTTGGACAGCTTGGCCAGGTAAAGTAAGTTGAAAAGTAACAGACATACTGGCCAGATCACCAAGTTAAAATAAAAAAAAAATCAAAGTAATGCAACCAAACCATTTAAAAGTTGGTAAACTGCAATGTAGTAAATACCGGTGTATACCTGGATTAGGCCAGCTGTGTGTAGACAGGTTATTGGTAGAGAATTAGTGAAAATATTGTGGTGTTATCTGTATTTATACACTGGGAAGCCGTTTGCACAGGAAGATGAGTCATTGTATTCAGGAATTCCTGACGTAGGCCTGTATACCTCTCAGCAGGTACAGTAGCATGTGCACACAGCAGCATACCATTCTTATAGGGAACATGCGGTATCATATTGCAGTCTGTATGAAATATCTGCTATGTATACATTTTTTATACTCCCAGGCTGTACT